ATTTGGCCTTGACAAGCACAGGTGCCACCCAGAGCAGGACTGTAGCCCCTGGAGAAGGGGGTCCCAGCTGAGGTTACCACAGTGCTCCTCCCCTCCCTCTCCCACCGAGCCCTAGTCTTAGCTCTTCATCCCTGCTTTCCCCACAGCTTTGACAAATTYATGYTTTCCCTTGCTTTGATTCTCTTGTRAATCAGGAACCAGCTGGGAAAGGGCTCCAGGCCTGGCTGGTGATGCAGTTGTGTTCCATCCTTCCCAATACAATTTGGAATTCTAGGGCAATTTAAATATTTATTGTCAGTGATTAAGATATGACTACAGCTTTATTAATTTCATTAGAGAATAAGCTACTGTTAAATCTTAATCACAAAAGCAAAAGGCAGAATACAAATCATTCCCATTGCCATTAATATGGAAAATGCAGACAGGGGGGCAAACTCTGCTTTCGTGTTGGTGGCWCAAGTCAGGCTTGCAACCACAGAGTGTCCAAAGGAAAAGCCTGCCTCAAACTGGGAGCCTCAGGTTTAAAAGGAAAAATAGCAATCAGTTCCATAAATCAGATAAATYGGTTTTCAAGTGTTTTTGCCCCCAGGGCTGCTGTGTTTTCAGTGGAGTGCTGTGTTTGGGGTTCCCTGGTGTGACTGTGTGTGCTCCTTTGGCAGGTGGACAGTGCCATGTCCCTGATCCAGGCAGCCAAGAACCTGATGAATGCCGTGGTGCAGACGGTCAAGGCGTCCTACGTGGCCTCCACCAAGTACCAGAAGTCACAGGGCATGGCCTCCCTCAACCTGCCGGCCGTCTCCTGGAAGATGAAGGCTCCGGAGAAGAAACCCCTGGTCAAGAGGGAGAAACAGGACGAGACCCAGACTAAAATCAAGAGGGCATCYCAGAAGAAGCACGTGAACCCCGTGCAGGCCCTCAGCGAGTTCAARGCCATGGAGAGTATCTAGAGGAGGGCTCTGGCTCGGGGGTGTTCATCTCTAGCCCACTACTGCTACTTCCAGAACTCTACTTTTAATTTCCTAAGGATTTTTCAAAAAATTACTATTCCTCCAAATGTATTTACTTAATATAATTTTGATAACTTTGTTTAGATTACACGGGGAGATACTCAAATTTCTAAGTCCTATCAGTATATCTTCAGCCTGCAGAAGTGTGGTAATTTAGATGGCTTTTAGATTACAGGGGTGGATTTCTAGCTGGAAACTTTTTTATAATCGTGCTTTAAATAAGATATACTATAACCAAAGAGGATTTTACAGTAACACTAACGGTTAACACTAATACTGGATCATGCTACTCAGAGACTCAGTTTATCATGGTGATTAAGAGAGAAAAAAATAGATTTTTTACTCAAAAAAAAAAGTAATTGATTGAAGTATTGTATGTGTTAGTGTATTACTGCTGTGGGGGTGGAGAGGGAGCGAGCTCAGGGGAGTTTGTGACCACAGCCGGAAAAAGCTGGAAAAACGATCCCCCCGTGCCTGGGAGAGGATCACGTTTGGAGCTGGCTGGGGCTGCCTTGGGACCGCGATGCTGCTTCCCCTGGGCTGCCCTCGGGGTGGGCACTGCTCCTTCCGGGGAGCTCCCGGAGCCGATCCCTGCGGGAACATCCCCTGSTGTGGGGCTCCCGTGTGACACGGACGGGAATTCTAATGCCTGGTTACAAATTACTAATGTATTTTGCTGCGGGACACTAATAAAGTTGCTTTTCCCAGCTGGTGCATTGTGGTGCTGTGAATGGAGCGGGGCCCAGCCCGCCCCTCACCCCCCCGTCGCCATTCAGATGCAAATCAGCTTTGTGCTCATTCCTCATAATTGCTCTGCATCCCGCCTTGGGCTTCAGAGGCACCCAGGAAATCGTGTTTGCTCAGGCTGCAATTTAGACTGTACATTATTTGTGATAACTATAGCTACAAGGTATAATTTCGCTGTCTTATTTAAATTTAATGAATTTCWGTGTGTTCCACACGTCCCAGTCGAGTCGGGTGCTGGGGAAGCGATGCCTGCACGGGGCAGCACGGAACGGTCCCGTTCCTGCAGAGCCTCCCCTGAACTGGAAAAGCCTGGGCTGTACTCAGTGCCTAAACTCCAGCTCCCTTTTAGAGCTGAGCCTTGGCACTGAAGTGTTATAATTTTATTTATCTCAATCAGCTTATAATTTATGGTGTTAAGGTTATTGCTGTCATGTTACTGTAATGCTGATCGGAATTAAGCTACACAGTTTTTGGGATATTTCTGCCAAATGCATTGTTTTCAAGCATTTCAGCCTCTTGRGTACAGCTATTAAACAGTGGAATTATGGCCATTTCCATACACCCTTAACATGGAAACAGGCTCGGAGGGGGAGCTGTGCTCCTCCATTGACATTTGGGGGTTAACAGAACAGAGAGGCTGTAGATCTTCTTTTTTAGGTAATTATTAACTGATTTTATACAATGTTTTTTTTTTCTCCTGGTATTGCCTTAAAGGTGACATTCCCTGGGCTTTTCAGGGAGTACATCCAGTGCTTCCCCCCAATACAATCTATTCATAAGCTTTAAAAAACAACCCCTACATTCAGATGTACAGACAAATTTACATGTGTTTAGCTTTAAATACATGTTASTTTAATTTATGCTACAAACACTGAACATCAAGTAGGCAAAGAACATTTAACTACAATTAAAATGTGGTTCCCCCGGTGAGAGGTACAACCCCAGGGGGTGCAGGAGCAGCAGGAACCTGATGGGGACAGCAGGCCAAAAAACCTCAACTCACATTTCTTTTGTACCCAGAATTGCTCCTCTGGGAATTGTGTTTGGGTTTGGAGAGGAGCAGGGCATCGAGGTGAATCATTATTGCTGTAACTGATTTAATTGCTGTGTTCAGGAGTGCGGCAGCAGCGGCTGGGGAGGGCAAACGCCTCTCCCCACAGCAGAGCGGGGATTTGGTGTCATTAACCCCCAGTTTCAGTAGCTGGGGACGTGGTGGGGACCCCGGTGCTGCTGCTGCTGCTTTTCTGCAGCCCGGAGCCGGGGCTGGAGCCGGGCAGGGAGAGGCARCTCCTCATCCCGGAGCAAACCCAGCCCCGGCTTCAGCCCCGGCGTTGTTCAGCACCAGCCCGAGCCCCAGCTGGGTCAGGRGTCCCAAAGCCCCGATCCCGCTGTGTCAGGCAATTCTAGCCCCGGCTGTGACAGCGGCTCAGCGAGGGGTCCGGCCGCCAGCGAAGCTGTGACTTTATTAGGGAGCCAATTGAAGAGAATTACAGTAATTACTGCTCCCTGTAATTAAGCGCTGGGGAAGGGCTTGTGCAGGCGCTGTCGCTGCGGCTGCCGGGGGACGATGCTCGGGAGGGAGCGAACGCGAACGCGGCCGCGCCGGGCGGGGAAAGCTCCGGGGGCGCTTCAGCCGCCTCCCCCCGACAGTGAGCGAGGAGCCAACCCCACCTTCCCCATTCCCACCCTTCCGTGGAGAMGGGGATGGGGGGATCCAGCGTGGCTTTGGGCAGGGAAGGACTGTGGGACCTCCCAGCTCGCCAACTCCTCACGGCAGCTCCCCAGGCACTGCCTGAAGCACACTGGGGTACTTGTTGGAGAGGGTTTGGGCTTGGTTTTTGTTTTTTTGGGGTTTTTTGTGGGTTTTTTTTTGGGGGGGGGGGAGTAGGGCTTGGTGTTTTGGCAGTGATTTGAAGAGATTTGGGGTTTTTTTTGCAGTGCGTTGGGACAGCAGTCCCGGCTGTACAGGGATCTCAGGAAGATGAACCCACATTATCTTCTAAAGTGTATTAGTGAAACCACATTAAGTCCTCAGGAGATAGCCTTATTCCAGATTTCAAGTGCTCTTAATTCCGCGGTGAATGGAGCCAACGTTGAATTTATGCCACTTTAATTGTGTGTGAAGGTTCCGTGCCACGATTTAATGCCCGTTAATGAACGCSTTTCCCACCCGCGCTCTCCGGCGCCTTTGGGATGTGTCAGAGCGGCCGCGGGCGGGGGCACCCGGGGCGGGACAGGGGAGGGGAGGGGCACCCCAAGCTGTGCGTTCTAACACAGGACCTGGCTCCAAAAAAAAGCCAGGGCAGCCAAACCTCAAATACACAACTGAGGAGAGGGCGGGGAGGAGCGGGTGCGAAACCCCAACAAATGGGTGCGAAAAGGCAAAATCCATCMAGGCACCATCAGCTGCTCCGGTGCTGAAGGCTCGGGCTCTGCCKGTCTGCGATGGAGCCTGGAGAGCGCCCCGCGGAACCGCGGCCCGGGCTCTCTCCGAGCCCCTCCCTGGCCCAGCAAGCGCCGGCRTTTGGGGAGCTCAGACTGAGCTCGACCCTCCCGATGCTCTGGTGGGTGCAAGGGGAAGATGCTGGAACTGTTCCTGGCCTGGCCGCGGATGGGATTCCAGCACCTAATGCTTGACCCCCTCCTGAAGCTGGAGGAATGGGGGCACCGTGCCAGCTCCAAAATGAAGGATGGAAGTGCCTGTCCCACCTCCTGGGGCTGCAGAGGGAGGGGCGCGCTGAGCTCTACACAAGGTTTCCAATCGCCCCGGGACCCCCCAGCCCGGGGGCTGCTCCAGCCCTGCCTTGCTCCGTGCCTGGGAGGCTGCAGGAATTTGGGGGCTGTGACACCCCCCCTGTGCCCCTGCTCCCTGTGCCGGGGTTGTTCCGGTGAGGGGTCTGGCCCATGGGGGTCTGGCTGCTGCACAGGGTGGGGGCCCTGCCTTGAGTCCTTTTCTGCGTTTAACACTCTCAGTGCTCAGTAWTTCCGGGTAATTCGTGTTTGTTTTCTATTCGGCTGCCAAAGGCAGGTGCCCTGGGGTGATGAGTGCGGCTCGGGGGGGGGGCTGTGTGGTGGGGTGGGGAGGGCTCTCATACAGAAGGAGCTGGGCTAGAGGTGCCCTGTGCCCGAGAGTCCTCCCAGACACAACCAAAGGTCAAAGTGGCCTTTGGCAGCCCCAGCCCGAGCTCCTGCCTCACCCACGGTACAGGAGAGGAGCCAGCTCCACCCCTCCCCCATGGGGACAGGGCTGAACCCCCAATGCAAACCCCCAAATCTCTTGGGCYCAGGGCCAGGGGCTGCCGAGCTCCGGGGTGACCCCAGCAGGTTCCAGAGGTGCCCCATAGGGCCCGGACCCTCTGGGCAGGGGGTACAGGGTGTGGGTGTGGAGTTCCCTGAGGATCAGCGCTGCCCAGGACCTCGCCCAGCCTTGACCCACCCCCGGAGCGGCACTGCCGGGAAATGGCGATTTGTTCCCGTTGCTTGAGCTCCTTTTGATGCTCCCTGTCCCCGGCTGTCACAGCCCGGGGGTGGCCATCCCAGGGCTGGGCATGGAGCGTCACTGMCCCGGAGCCACCGCCTGCCCTCTCCTGAGCTGCCCGGAGCCCCCTCCATCCCCAAGGCCAGCGCAGGTGTCCCCTGAGCCCCGGCTCAGAAACCTGTCGGGTTTCAGACCTTTAGGAAGAGCGAGTGGGGTTTTGGCTTTGGGGATTGGGCCGGGAGGGCTGCTGTGGTTTTCTCCCTGGCTCAGCCCATCAGACAGACCCACCCTGTTAAATCCAGCTGTGAGACAGGGACAAGGCCAGGCAGGGCCCCAGAAATGCCTGTGCTGATCCCCTCCACTCGTGCTGGATCCCTGCTCACTTGGCATCGCTTCAGAGGCTTGGCTTTCCAGCTGAAAAGCTCCTTCCTGTGCTTGTCCTGGCTGTTACCACCAGATATATATTTTATTTTTCAAACCTACAAGGAAAGCTCTGGCAGGGCTGGCTGAGAAAYGCATTTCAGATAGAAATAGATAAAATAAAATAATGCCAGCAAAAGAGCCTAAACAAACCCCAAAAAGAGAAAGATCAAAAAAAAAAATCAATAGTTATAATTAGCCCTGCTACTTAACAGTGACAAGTGACAGGCTGTACATGGAGGCCACAAATATTTGAGCATGAAGAAGGGCTGGTGGCCCTGAGCCAGCCCAGTGGCTGCAGGGTGGCAGTGGAGGAAGGATCCGGTGGCATTTGTGCCCCAGGCAGAGGGAGCTGCACCGGTGGGGCTGGGTCCCGTGGGGTGGTCACAGCCAGGGGATGGCCCTGCTGCAAGGAAAGGCTGGGACAGAGCCCTGCAGAGCATCCCTCCAGCCAGCACAGCCACCCTCACGGGCATCCCTCAGCCCTTCCCACCCAAAGGGAGAGGCTATGCAGCCCCCTTGGGTTCCCTCCTGACCCACCCAGGACATGGCAGGTGCCACGGCTGGGCAGTGCCAGCTGAGGCCTGGGTCCCTCACCACGCTCACCTCCCTTTTCCCAGYAGCACCCCATGAAAACCAGGCACGTCCCCTGCCCCGAGCTGTTCCAATAACCAACTTGCTGGCACACAGTGCTGGGATCCCATTTAGTCCAGCAGTTTATTCCAAAGTGCACAGACACCAGCGCCACCCAAACTCGCGCTGCCACCCTGAGTTCCCTGGACTGGGCTGCTCCTGCGGTGTCACCTCAGCTCCTGGATGATGGTGTTTATGGAGCCCAGGAGCTCCCCGAAGTAGCCATCCATGTCCCCGTCCTGCTGTTCCTGGGCTGCCAGCTGCTCGTACTCGCTGCGCAGGAGGCTCAGGGCGGTGCCCAGCGCGGGGTCCCCCCGGTAGCTCTCCCTGCACACGGCCATCAGCGCYGCCACCAGCTTGAGCACCTTCTCGCGGCTGTCGTGCTCGGGCAGGGCCAGCAGGCGCGGCCCCACGGCGCACCAGTCCTGCTCCAGCACTGCCGGCACCAGCCTGACCTGCTGGTACTGCTGCCGCTTCTCCTCCATCTGCTCCCCGTGCTGCGAGTCCTCCAGCAGCCTCTGTGGAGTGGTGGAGCACAGATTAATGGTCCTGACTGTGGGAAGTGGTGGAGCACACATTAATGGCCCTGACGGAGAGGAGCTGCTCCCAGGAGGTGACAGGAGAGGAGGATGTCCTGTACCACCTGCTCTGGACAGGGACTCGCCACAGACCACACCGAGCTTGTGTCCCKGCTCCCTGGCCACAGGGGCTGGCTGTCCACCCTGGAAAAGTCCCAGTGACTGGGATTCTGCGTCACACAGCCCAGGAGRGGACTCGAGGGGCAGGAAGCTCAGCAGGACTTGTGAAGTCTCTGGTCTGATGCTTTTGCAGCTGGACAGGTGCCTGCAGCACCCAATGAACACCACAGCTGGCTCCATGCTGCTCCTACCAGGAATGGGCATCTCAGCCTCTTCCAGCCACAGCCAGGCCTTTCTCTCCCAGCCTGCTCCTGAAAGCCCCAGCACTGCAATTCCCCAGGAGCTGGATCCCCTACAGCGAGAGGGACCAGCCCYGAGCAGCACCAGGGCCAGGGGGAGGAGGGGAACCCCCCCAACACATCCCCCTGACACATTTGGGGCTGGGGTGCTGGAGAGGCTGTTGGGATTCCCAAAGAGGCTCCATCCCCTCGGGCTCATCCTGGCTCCGTGCTGCCCTGTGATGGCTGCAGTGTCTGTGTGAGGCAGGGCTGGGGGAGCTGAAGGCTTCTGGGCACTGCTGGGTACAACTGCAGCCTTGGGGCAGCCAGCAGGCACGGGAGCTGCCACAAGCCTTGCACAGTCTTATGGGTCCCTGAGGTGGTCGCTACCCTGTTCTCTGGTCACCAGTGGCCATGGGCTCTGCCCGGCCCTGGGCACTGCTGTGAGAGCCTGGTCACAAGGATTGGCAGGAATGACACAGWGGGGACATGGAGGGACAACACCAAGGAYTGACCTCCCCTCCCCAKATCCCCTGGGAGAGCTGCCTGCTGRGCTGCARGCAAGATTTGGGCTGAAAAGGAAGGAATGTGGCAGCAGGAGCTGTTTAGAGCCCCAGTGACTCCTGTTTTGTGCTGAGAGCTGCCAGGGTGGTTCATGATTCCAAACCAACCCATCTGACAGTCCCCCATCCCATCCAT